ATTCTACATTAGCGAAAAAAAACTGAATACGGCCCGAAGGGCCTAAAATGTTTCGGATACCGAGCAGAATTCGAGCAGAATAAGGGTGTCCGACCAGAATTTTGAGCAGAATAAGCGATTTTTACGAGCACTACCGGCAGGCAGAATAAGTCATTTTATGAGTAGAATTTATCCAAGCCTGACACAAACGCGATCACAATAGGTTAATATATCATTGTAGAGAATTTGACGTTTGGATAGAGGCCGGTGTGCCAGAGGCTATCATTGACTGGAGTACGGGTTATTTTGACAAAATTTCATTATTTGATTATGCCAACTTAGAAGAACTGTTTCAGGAGGGAAAAGAGGGCAGAAAAAACACTGCAGACCAAGAAAGTGTTACTTCCAGCACGGGTGTCTTCGTCCCAAAGATGAAGCCACCGTTTTCCCTCCACTACCAAGAAAAGGTCCCTTTTTAAACACCCCCACTTTGGAGGACGTTTCCTAACGGCATGCCGACCGTTCAAAGAGGTTATTTTCAGTTGCCTTCAAAGTAAATCGAACCGATTATTTTCTAGCCAGAACTAAGATGAGTATATGCAAAAGCTACTGGATTTTAAACCTGCTATGGCGTCCGACCCCTGTATAGTTAACGACCATCTTATATGCACCCAACAAAGCGGGTTTCCTCCTAAATGCATTGAAAACACTTTTAAGGCTATCCAGAGTACTTTTAGATGTCTAAAAATGCATTCTAAGCGAAGCTATAAAATTTAGTCTCTTTGGTCATCCTAGAGGAACTTGATTCTTTTAGAAATTCTTGAGCTCTTCAATATTTATTTACCAAAAATTTGAGATCCAATATGAAAACGTTAAAACGTTTTACAAAAGTGAGAATTTTTCTGATCCCTCTCCCCATCACATTTTCGAATCCAAAACTTTTAGGCTTCCTTTTTCCACGAAAAATAGCCTAGGCTGGGTAATCAAATGTAAAAAATTAAACTTCAGAAAATCGTAGGAAATCTATTAGATAAGAGCTTGCAGAAATTTCCTCAATGGTCGAAGAAGATGTAAAATAAAGGTTTATGAGCACACTGTAACCTTACAATAGGGCTGACAATTATAAACGCAACTAACAAGGTAAGACAGAAACGCATTTGGCATTTGAACGCTGTTTCACCTGCATTTTTATTGTAATTTCAGCTTAAAATGAACACATATGTGATATACAACTTGCTGAAAAGCGCAAAAAGTGCACCGAATTTCTAGCAAGAAAGGCAAAAAAAATAAAATTCTTCCACCCGAAAAATTTGAAAGTCTCGCCAGCAACAATTCAAAGCACAGACCAAGCACATCTATCCCTATCACCAGGTCTGACAAGAGATTACCAGCAGAAAAGATTTAGTTAAAAGCAAACAATAAAGTTTGAAAAAAACTATCATTATAGTATGCTACATGCTAACGGCGCAACCGTTTATTTTATTATGGGAGGCAGGTTACTGAAACTGGAAATGCCCGTCTTATGTAAGCGACGTATCTTATCCGAGACGCGTCGTTTTATTTTACATTTATTTTTTCGTATAAATGGCCTTCAGTGTTTCACTACTGTATATTAATCAATTTAGATACAGCTTATAAACAATAATGGACGTACTATTTCGTTGCCTAACACTTAAGACTATAGCCTGTGAGCAACAGACGTTATTTGGGTCATCCAGGCGGGTTTTGGGTTGCGAGTACCAGAGCCCTTCTGAGCGCCCTCAATAATGCTTGTTAAATGTTCAGGCTACATATAATACTATCAGCGGAGTCTTGAATGTGACAAGTGGCGTTATCGTGGCGACCTCTTTAAAACGGAAATCTCCATAGTAGTTGCTTTGTCCCTTCAGTGTCTGTATACAGGGCTCAACTGTACGGATTAGGCTTCTACTGGTTTGGTTTTCATTTCAGCCCGTTTGGCGGAGTAATGATGGCCTTTCCAGTGATACCAGTTTACACCGTTGGCATAAGAGGAGTGACTCCCATTAAGATAGCGACCATTTAAGTTGGAGGCATGACATTTATTGTACCACCAGGCTCCCCATTATAAAATGGCACAGCTCGTGCCCGAAGCTTGGTCATTGTCTTGTTCTTTAGTGGAGAATGGCATATTATGATGCCATGCAAGAGAGTCACCAGCAGTTCCTAAAAAGATAAACAAGAACCTCATTTCTTACCATAGTTCTTATTAATGGTCCTAAATAACCTTTCTTTAGACGTTTCGGCGGGAAAGTGAGAGAGTAGTAGCAGCACTCCAAATAAGTAAAACGGGCATTGTTACCGTTACAAAGAGTGCATTTAACCCTAACTATGAAAGAGAGGCATTTTATAGCCATCGTTTAAAGTGACTTTGCTCTGCAAGCCTTCTCCATCTACGGCCATTCTTGTAAGGCCCTTTATTTGTAAAACTGGCAATCCAATTTTTAGGTGAAACCTTTGTAGCAAAAGCTTTTTCAAAAGGCGTAGATTTGAGGCAGGCATCCGCATTACAATACTTCACTAGCCCCTTCGAACGTTAGCAGACTGAGCACTAGTCTTGTGGTACTCCGCTGGTCACGGTTGTCACCAAGCGCTTTTGTCATACAGGACTGCCTTGGATTCCAGGAACTGGATTGCGGATTCTTTGTCAATAGAACTTATATTCCGGATTGCAATTGTTAGCGGAATTTCGGATTCCTTGAACTGAATTCCGAATTCCAATATTCCTGATTCCATAAATAAAATTACCCGGATTCCAGATTACCTTACCTAGGGCGACTTCTGACATACACAACAATAGAAGCACACACACACTAGGCTTCTTGCATAAATTCTGCCGGTAGAATTTCTAGCAGAATAAGCGATTTTTGAGGCGAGCATTCTGCCGGCAGAATAAGGCATTTTCGAGCAGAATAAGGGAAATCAGCGGCACTAATGATATGCATAACAGTGGTAAGAAAAATTTAAAACTATAGTATAAAAAAAATGGAAAAATAAGCCTTGTGAATATAATTTGATTATTTAATAGTTACAACGCACTCACATTAAACTCACATTACGCATAATGATTTATCCAATTAGTTTTTAGGAGTAAGGCCCAGGTTCCATTCTACATTAGCGAAAAAAAACTGAATACGGCCCGAAGGGCCTAAAATGTTTCGGATACCGAGCAGAATTCGAGCAGAATAAGGGTGTCCGACCAGAATTTTGAGCAGAATAAGCGATTTTTACGAGCACTACCGGCAGGCAGAATAAGTCATTTTATGAGTAGAATTTATCCAAGCCTGACACAAACGCGATCACAATAGGTTAATATATCATTGTAGAGAATTTGACGTTTGGATAGAGGCCGGTGTGCCAGAGGCTATCATTGACTGGAGTACGGGTTATTTTGACAAAATTTCATTATTTGATTATGCCAACTTAGAAGAACTGTTTCAGGAGGGAAAAGAGGGCAGAAAAAACACTGCAGACCAAGAAAGTGTTACTTCCAGCACGGGTGTCTTCGTCCCAAAGATGAAGCCACCGTTTTCCCTCCACTACCAAGAAAAGGTCCCTTTTTAAACACCCCCACTTTGGAGGACGTTTCCTAACGGCATGCCGACCGTTCAAAGAGGTTATTTTCAGTTGCCTTCAAAGTAAATCGAACCGATTATTTTCTAGCCAGAACTAAGATGAGTATATGCAAAAGCTACTGGATTTTAAACCTGCTATGGCGTCCGACCCCTGTATAGTTAACGACCATCTTATATGCACCCAACAAAGCGGGTTTCCTCCTAAATGCATTGAAAACACTTTTAAGGCTATCCAGAGTACTTTTAGATGTCTAAAAATGCATTCTAAGCGAAGCTATAAAATTTAGTCTCTTTGGTCATCCTAGAGGAACTTGATTCTTTTAGAAATTCTTGAGCTCTTCAATATTTATTTACCAAAAATTTGAGATCCAATATGAAAACGTTAAAACGTTTTACAAAAGTGAGAATTTTTCTGATCCCTCTCCCCATCACATTTTCGAATCCAAAACTTTTAGGCTTCCTTTTTCCACGAAAAATAGCCTAGGCTGGGTAATCAAATGTAAAAAATTAAACTTCAGAAAATCGTAGGAAATCTATTAGATAAGAGCTTGCAGAAATTTCCTCAATGGTCGAAGAAGATGTAAAATAAAGGTTTATGAGCACACTGTAACCTTACAATAGGGCTGACAATTATAAACGCAACTAACAAGGTAAGACAGAAACGCATTTGGCATTTGAACGCTGTTTCACCTGCATTTTTATTGTAATTTCAGCTTAAAATGAACACATATGTGATATACAACTTGCTGAAAAGCGCAAAAAGTGCACCGAATTTCTAGCAAGAAAGGCAAAAAAAATAAAATTCTTCCACCCGAAAAATTTGAAAGTCTCGCCAGCAACAATTCAAAGCACAGACCAAGCACATCTATCCCTATCACCAGGTCTGACAAGAGATTACCAGCAGAAAAGATTTAGTTAAAAGCAAACAATAAAGTTTGAAAAAAACTATCATTATAGTATGCTACATGCTAACGGCGCAACCGTTTATTTCATTATGGGAGGCAGGTTACTGAAACTGGAAATGCCCGTCTTATGTAAGCGACGTATCTTATCCGAGACGCGTCGTTTTATTTTACATTTATTTTTTCGTATAAATGGCCTTCAGTGTTTCACTACTGTATATTAATCAATTTAGATACAGCTTATAAACAATAATGGACGTACTATTTCGTTGCCTAACACTTAAGACTATAGCCTGTGAGCAACAGACGTTATTTGGGTCATCCAGGCGGGTTTTGGGTTGCGAGTACCAGAGCCCTTCTGAGCGCCCTCAATAATGCTTGTTAAATGTTCAGGCTACATATAATACTATCAGCGGAGTCTTGAATGTGACAAGTGGCGTTATCGTGGCGACCTCTTTAAAACGGAAATCTCCATAGTAGTTGCTTTGTCCCTTCAGTGTCTGTATACAGGGCTCAACTGTACGGATTAGGCTTCTACTGGTTTGGTTTTCATTTCAGCCCGTTTGGCGGAGTAATGATGGCCTTTCCAGTGATACCAGTTTACACCGTTGGCATAAGAGGAGTGACTCCCATTAAGATAGCGACCATTTAAGTTGGAGGCATGACATTTATTGTACCACCAGGCTCCCCATTATAAAATGGCACAGCTCGTGCCCGAAGCTTGGTCATTGTCTTGTTCTTTAGTGGAGAATGGCATATTATGATGCCATGCAAGAGAGTCACCAGCAGTTCCTAAAAAGATAAACAAGAACCTCATTTCTTACCATAGTTCTTATTAATGGTCCTAAATAACCTTTCTTTAGACGTTTCGGCGGGAAAGTGAGAGAGTAGTAGCAGCACTCCAAATAAGTAAAACGGGCATTGTTACCGTTACAAAGAGTGCATTTAACCCTAACTATGTTACAGTCTACTTATCACACTCTTTAATCTTTAGTTATTTTATCTGAACATTGACTTGGCGTAATTTTTCCTTGTAAGTGAAGGTAAACGGGTGAAACTTCTCCTTTTGGGCAGAAAAAGTCAAGTAGGATTCGCGTCGTGACATCGTTTTGTGATTTGTCTTTACCTTTGGTACAAGTGGGACCGATATGTAAGTGATTTCTTTTGTTATATTGTTTAGTTTCGTTCTTTAGTCAGTGGGTAAAAGTCCCGGGGGGGGGGGCACTCCCATACATTACCTATACGGGTATGTGCCGCCAAACGGGGTCGTGATTTTGAAGCTCCTGATTTAGAACGGGGTATCCATTTCAGAGGCGTTTTCTAGAACGGGGTATAAAAAATTGTGGATCAAGGCTTTATCTTCTGCTTAAAATTGTTGCTGATTATGAAGAAGCATTTATTTGATGTATAAGTCGAACAAATGAAGAAATATCTTTTGAAAAAAACAGGGCTATTTCAATTTACAAACTTTCTAGAACGGAGTATTAAAAAATTGGCCCATTTCTAGAACGGGGTATCAATTTTAGGGGTTATTTTTTTTAGAACGGGGTGCCAATCTGGAGTCCCGGGCGGCACATATCCACCCAAAAAATACCCAAGTGCCCTCCCCGGGGTAAAAGTACACGAATGTTACTGTACAAGTATACAGATTTAAGCTTAATTGATTTATAATTGTTTCATGAGCGAAAATAAAAGCGGATTTGAACGCCTGTTAGAGCAACGCCCACAATTTTACTTTATAGTACAAGAATTAAGATCAGATTTATGGAATTAATGTCTAATTTCAGTCTATGTAGCCTTTAAGTAGATTTTACCGTCTTGTTATCGACCTAATCATTATAGAATCGCTTTATTACCTTTTCAAGCTTCTGTTTGTTGATTACGCGTTATTTGTCTCAGTATCGCCTTTTCGCCAAATTGATAGAGATTTTTGTATTGTTATTTCAGTTCACGGTCAATCTTTGGTCCATAGATTTCGGTCTTTGGAATTTGGAATTAAATCACCGTTAACCGTTACCTTTGGTTTTCCGTGGTTTTCTTGTTTTGCCGACCCGTAAAATAGTCCCTAATCTAACCTGCTGCGATACACCCCTCGAAGTTTCGTTTCTCTTTTGATTGTTTGGGTCGTCGCCAGCCACAGTAAAATATCGCCAGTCTTGTTTGCCGATGGTTATGAACATTTGTTGAACGTTGCTTGAACTTTTGAAACTTTATTTGATGGCCTTATGAGTGTCTTTAGCGTCGCATACCTTCGTAACCATACGCCGACACCTACCCGAGATAATGCGCCAAAACAAACACATCCGGCGTCAAAGAGCGTGACAAGCGTCACATCTTCCATTTCGAAAACTGAAGCTCCTCGCACAAGAAAAATGACGGAAAAAGGAAAAGCTTACCAGTTAGGGATTAAACAAGCTAACCGTGATTGTGCGCTTGCGAAACTGAAAAGGCAGATAGAGAAGATCAATATAATACGTGACTTACCTGAGACAACAATTGAACAATTAGCCTCAGAGAGGGATTATTTAGATCGCTTGAAAGATGAGTTTAATGACGCGCAAAAGGCGTACGATGATTTGTTGCAATCGCCAGAAGAAAAAGACGCCTCCTACCAAAGGGGGGAATTTCATATATCCCATGATCCTTCGCGGCTAATTTCTGTCTTCTCTCCGCGGTGGAAAGAGCGTTCGAGGGTTTTGAGGGTGATTTTGAACGTCCTGAATTTCAAGATGCAGCTCATCCAAGGTAAGTTTCAATGAGCCCTGTTAATCTTTAGTATCTGATTGATAATGTAAAATGTTTCCATGGTCGTTTCACGCATTATTGCTCTCGTTTACGACCCTGGTAAGCCATGCTGTTTTGACACGCAAATGAATATTTATTTAGATGACTTTCNAGAATCTGCGAGCGCATTCAGGCACTGGAGAAAATATCCACTCGACTCCCATCCGAGAAGTCCAGGCACAGTAGGAAGTCGTCTGTCAGGTCTTCTCGATCTTCCTCGTCTCATCGAATTTCTCTTGCCTTAGTCGATGCAGTCGCTAAAGCAGCGAAGTTACGAGCCGAAATGGAACTTTTCGATAAAGAAAGAGAAATACATTACATGTTGAAAAGGAAATGGCTATTGCGAATGCCGAAGAGGATGCAATTAGAAGAATAATAGATGAAGACAAACTAAGGAAGAAAGCAAAAGGGTGAAACAAGATCTCAAACCAGGCACGGGTGCCGAAAGGTTTTTAAGAATGAGAGAGATTTTCCTGTGGACCCGAACGATCCTCCCTTCGTCCCAAGTAACTTACCACAGTCTCCCGAGATTCTGCGACCAGAACTGTTTTTCTCATCCTCGCCGTACGTTAGTCCAGATATCAGCGCTACTATGCGCGAATAGTTAACCTTCAAGCAAAACAAGCAGAGTTAAGTTCGATGATAATAAGTCAGCAGAAGACTACCCATCTTCCAGTACAAGAGTCGCCTGTCTTTTCTGGAGATCCATTCGAGTATCCAGCGTTTATAACTGCCTTTGACTCCATCATTTCCGCTAATGTGTTTTTGGACAGGATCGTCTCTTCTTCCTAGACAAGTAGACTAAGGATAAGGCGAACGAAGTTGTGAAAGGATATCTAGGTATGAGCTCGGACAGCGCTTACAAAGAAGCCCGGAAATTGCTTGACCACGGCTTTGGAAATCCAGTGAATGTGGCAGAAGCGTATAAGTCTAGCCTTAGAAAATGGCCGCAGATCAGTGACGGAAATAGTAGTGGTGTCCAGGAGTTCTCTGACTTTCTTGTGCGATGTGAAGAAGCGATGAAAACAATGAAGTCTATGGGAGATCTTGACTCAACACAAACACTCCTTCAGATCAGTGCTAAGCTTCCTTCCTATTCTGGCATTAAGTGGTGTAGGCACGCCCATGAAGCACAAACGGAAAACAAAGAAGATTATCACCTTTAGCCACTTCGTAAAATTCGTTAAGGAAGAAGCAGAACTAGCGAACGACCCTATTTCTCACCAGACGCGCTAAAGAAAGAAAGAAATAAGACGGTGACAGTAAACCAACCGACGTTCGGAAGGAAAATTCGACCAAAGAGCAAAGGCGTTACAGAAACACCCATTCTCGCCCTTGGAATATGCGAATTTCACTAAATTATTTTTACACCAATTAAACGCTTCAAATTTATCGGAAGTTGGTTTCTGGAGAGGTCCACAAACTTTTATTCAGTGTTGTCGGATAGGGAGGTTCTTATGCTCTCTTGGTGTGTCGCAATAAGGCCCTGTCCACACTAATGCGTTTTTGTTGTCAGCGAAAACACATCAATCGATTCGAGTCCAAAGCTACCGTTTTGATGCGTTTTTGACCGTCCACACTAAAACGTTCACTAAACGGTAGAATTGCACGTTGTGACGTAATTTGAACCCTATGCGCATGCTACAAATACACGCCCATGCGATATTTTGGTACATATGACGTCATCGTTTTCATTTTGCTGCGTTTTCGGCCATCCACGCTATGCGTTACTTTCAAAAGCGTTCTCAAATCGATGCCGTTTTTGGATGAAAATGCTCAGTGTATTAGTGTGGAAGGCAGGCCTTAACAGAGCGAAATAATACATTTTCAAACGAAAACGAATTATTTTGGACTGGGCGTTAATCGTGGTGGACTTGGTGGTGACGTTTCAAATAATTAATTTAAATGTGCGGACGTTCCAGGAAATAGATTTCCGTTTAATCCAGCCTCTAAATATAACTTTAGTGAAAATCACATATCTCGGCTACCGGGCTAAGATTGCCTCTCTCACCGATATTCTCTCTTGTTGGAACATTATTCGAGAAATGCTGGTGGTTATTATGAAAATTCAGAAATTATTAAGCATGTAGCTGAAGCTAGGCCTCCTTAAAATTGGAATGTAAAATATAAACTGTAAATTGTTGCACTGATCTTACGACGGCGTGGAACTTCATTATTATTTCTTTAATGTTTTAACTGTGGTATTGTGTCTTACCAGCATATTGTCCAAGACGTTCCAGCTTGTACTTGCTCTGTTCATCATCAACAGCAAATGAGTCGTATTCAGCGTAAGCTGTTTGGTTATCGAAGTCTTCCAGATCAACCCGAAGCTTGCTGCGTCCTTTCGTCAGGCGATGAATCTTGTCCAGCCCGAGCCAAAATTCACCATTCAGATTTCCAAAGCCTCGTTTGTAGTCGTCCCAGCCGCGATAGAAATCTACCGAGCCGTCCAGTCTCTTTTGGAACACAGTCCATCCGCCACCGGCTGTTTTTTGGTCACAGTACACATCAAAGGCTCCAGCATCATCAGGGTCGATAGTGTAGACACCACTGGTTCGAAAACCGGCTTCATAGACATCAGCACAATTTCTGCGAACTTGAATTAACTGAATGAATGAACAGTGTAGCGTTTCCAAGCTTTATCACTTTAACGCAATATGATAGCCGTGATCTTAGCAGCCACTATATTTGCTACCAACTATATTTAAATAAAACATCTCTTATAAACAAACGGATTGTAGTAGATCGCTAATACGGTGTGCAGTAGTACCAAGACATCAAGTCATTTTTAGTGTCCATCCGCCCCTCCCCCTTTAGCCCTCCCCCCATTCCCATCGGCTGTGTTCGGTCACAGTCACTATATTTAGCCTGTGTTCAGACGCCCCTCCCCTTAGTAAAAAGTCGGCAAAGGGGAATTGCTTTACTGAGGGGGCATCTGTACACAGGCTAAGTATATAGACCCCCTTTGCTGTTTAATCGTTTCCCTACTTGGAAAAATCGTCGTAGATCAGTGTCCACTGGAAAGAAAAGGAATAAATATCGCAAACTATGTGTTGATTTTTGCGTTATTCTCTTTTGTATCACTTTAACTTTTTTTTTTTAAAAAAAAAGGAAGAAAAATTGAGGGCGAGCAAAAACCCTTAGTGATAACCCCCTAACCCCTCAGCTAGGTTTTAGTTCTGTTGAGAGTACCTTTTATCTCGCAGTTTTCACCTTTGAAGCCAGCTAGGCATGCGCAAATGTACTTCTTCACGGTATATCCCATGTAGCACGTTCCGTTGTTCAGGCAGGGCTCAGTGGCGCAAAGATTCTGTTAAAAGGAAAACAGTTTCAATGAATTATTCATTGGATCAGCTTCAGCAATTATGTATTATGTACGTTGTTAAATTTTGAATATTAAGTTATAGAATTATAGTACATTGCATATACCGCCAACACCGTTATTTTTATGATCTTTTTCATCACTGGCTTAGAATCATCATAAATCCACCACTACATGATGAAATGGCTTAAAATTCATCTGGGAGGGGATAAATACCTCTGTGCCTCTGTAGGTCCAGTCTTTTCTTGGTTTGAGATCCTCTGGGTGTTGCAAGTGATCTGAGTTACTCAGTTCACAGGCCATCCTGGTGTTTATCATTGGACCAATATTATACGAAACACATTCTCTAGCAAGGGCGCATTGATCTTGGCAGTCTAGATTTAGTTCCACTGAATGATTTGAAATCACATGCCCTTCAAGGTAAAAACCTCTGGCTGGTGTCAGAAATGTAATGCGTCGGTTGTTTTGACCACAATCACCTAAGATAGGGATTTTCAAAATAAAAACTAGTTAAAACGTAGAAAAGAGTTTGACCGACTACTTATCAGTGTTGAAGTCAACATTCTAGAAGAGTGCACTAATTTGGCAATCCCACGCCTTTGCAAATGACTGCGCAAGATTTCAATTAACTAGCTCTCAGTCCCTCACGGGACTAAAAATAACTAAACTCCATATAAGGGAATCCGGATTCTGAAACCAGGAAATTTTCCCTTCTGGAATCCAGAATCCTGGACTTTGGAATCAGAAATACAGCTCAAGGAATCTGGACTCCTACTAACAATTGGAGTCCGGAATATCATTCCACTGACAGAGAATTCGGAATCTAGGGCATGGAATCCAGAATCCCAGAATGTATTGGATTCCCTTACCTGTGGGGCGATTCTTATAACCGACTTTGTTTTCAGAACTCTTGAGTGACCGAAGACGGCAGCTTATATCGACAGCAATTATAGCAAAGAGATACATTCCGTCTTAAGAGCGCATTATATTGGTCTAGACATATCTCCTTGCACATCGGACGGAAAAATTTACAAACACTTGCTGCTCAAGGTAGAAAGCTCTGACTGATGGCAAAAATGTAATGTAGCAGTTTTGTTGACCACATTCAACCGAGGCAGATAGTTTTAAGGTTAATAAAGTGTCAGCAATTGTGACCGATTATTGGTTCAGTGTTGGCTTTACAAAAAACGACTAAGTGTTTCACTCTTTTGTGACATCGCGTGCGAGAAAAAAAAAAGAGAACAATATAAAAGTATAATTATATATATTTTCTCTTGCTCTTCACTCTTGAATATTTGTCCCACATAGTAAAAGCAGATATTATATGTACTTATCACAAATACAACTGAAATACGTTTTTTGTCATCGCCCGTCTCGCCCCTTAATTGTGTAAAATCTAGGAGAAAGAAACCTATAGCTTCTTGGTGAGACTCCGTCCCCTGGTGAACGGACCGCAGTTTTATAGTAAGGCAAGAGAATTCCTGAAAAGGCCCAATATCAACTGCGAAGAAGGCGAGTGGAAATTCACCTGCTGCATGGTTGCGCAAAACATCAGTTATTGATAACTTGTCAAAGAAAAGGCTTTAGACATGATTGCTTACAAAAAGGAAGCTCGAATTGTGGTATCTCTGATGTCTCAAAAGCCAATATGCAGTTCGAAGTTTATAAAACTCTTCTTTTAAATTTTTAAGGATTAACAAAGTGTCTAATTATCAAAGTATTATTTAATCATTTTATTTATTCAGATAATTATTATTATAATTAAGAAGCCTTATAGTTATTTTGGGGAATGTTGCTGTTTCGAGATCATTACTACAAGGACGCCTCAACGAGAAGCTCAGAAAACCTTTGTTTACGGTGGTATTATAATTAGTTTTTTCAAAAGCGTTCAATTTTGATGGTGTAACGAAAGAAAAAGTTTTCACATTTTAAAAACATTAATACCCAGGAAATTCTTGGAATTTGGAAAATAAAATCTCAACGGGGAAAGTTCGTCAAGTTATTTTTTGCTATTATAATAGTGGAACAACCTATACGCTGGCCTTCTTATTTATAAGAGATCCTCAGTTAAGCTATTTTGGATACTTCGCTTCGTCCCGGAGAAGCGGCATGAAATTTCTTAGACGAAAACTCCGTTAATACGCCCAAACAGTTAATATGCGACAACGACCACATGATTTGACATAACAAACGTGTGAAATAAAAAAATTGGCTTTCTAAGCCGACAAGTGACCATCCTCGGAGACCCAGGGGCAGATAGTGGGGGCGAGGGAAAGTCTAAACCGGCGGAAAAATATGGCACGAAGAAAAGAAAAGAACGGCGAGAAGAACCCCTGGGGACAATGTCTTACCAGACCAGTTCCAAACGGTCGCCGCCGTTCTGACCTCTTATTGGTGCCAGAAAACGTTTGTGTTTTTCTGCCCAATAAGTAAAGATACATTTACATGCAACTGAAAGTGTCTGTAAAATGCAATGTTGATTACTTCTTAAATTAAATTCTTATCACTAAAGGACAGGCTAAATGGCAGTAAATTTTCTGCAGGTGGAGAAGGATCTGAAAATTAAGAGACTTTTTCTTTGTTTTTGGTCACGATATTCTAAGGCGCTCCCAATGTTTAGCAAGAGGGTTACCATAGCACTCACAAGGCAGGGAGGGTAACCTAGCAAGAAAGAATGATAAAGAATGATAAAATTTGTTTTTACAAACCCCAAATGACCATCTTTTGATTACAACGTCTGTTAATAGGTGAATATTAAGTAAATTCAAGTTATTCTAGCTGCCTTGTATAAAGAAAACGACGAAACTGCTTAACTAATGTCAAGTGAAATTCACCTGAAAAATCTGTGCGTCATAAAAACATAATCGCCAAAATTATTTTGAAGCTGATTATAATAATTAAGCGCTGTTTTTGTCTTTGTTTTGTTGTTTTTTTCCTGACCTTGATATGCAGTAACGATATAGTTCAGCCAAGCTCCCCAAACAACACACTCCAGCATGATGGCTAGCAAAGAGAAAAAACGCGGGCCTGCCATTCCAGAAGCCGTGTAGACCTATTGTAGCGTTGCCCACCGGACTTTGAATTGGTGTCTAGTAAATAGGGAAATTTAGCTGGATTATAAGTGAAAGGGCGAAACATAAAATCAGTAATTTCTTTCTGCTTTATCATATTAAAAGGGTATTTTTTTCGTCATCAAATTTGATTATTGGATGCCAAATACTCAGCAAGTTACCTCACAATGTGGTCTCCTTTATCAGAAATGCTCTGTTCCTTTTTTTCCGTCTTTTTTTCTATCTTTCTTCTGTCACTAGTATACAAACAATGCAATATAAAAGTGCCAATATTTTGTGAATTAATTAGACTCTTCCACGATTTTTTCAAAATTAGACGAGGATTATTTGGCGAGGATTCATCAACACCGCTGAAAAGATCAGAGGCCCTTAACATTAGTAAACTTGCAAAGTTTAAAAGTAATACGTCCAAAGCGAGCGAGGATTTAGCTCCATTAGTCGCCAAATTTTAAGCGTGGGACGTTTGCATCACGTGGAGGGCAAGGTGCTGCCATTCACCAAAAACATTTGCGACCTTGTGGGGCAATATCTCCACTAGCATACAACACTCCGACAATATTGGCTATTGCATTATTTTTACATTTTTTAGCTTCTCTTTTCAGCATTGTCGACGGATTTTTCACAAAGTGGATCATATCAAAAGTTGAAAAAACCGTGAAATGGTCTATTCTTACGCGTAAATTAGCAGGCAGAGAGTATGAGTAAACAGGTGTAATTCCTAAAGGAGAGGGAGGCTAAAATTAAGGTAAAACTGTAATGGAACCAGGAGAGGAACTTACCTCTCCGAATAATTGGAGAAAAAAATCGGAAAAGTAATTTTTGGCACTGTTTTAAGTTCAGTGCAGCAGTAGCCGTGTAGGCTCGCACGATAATTTCCGGAAAGAATGCTACAAACCTAATTTGAGTGTGGATGTATTGTTTCAGAGGTCATTTCCAATTAAGAGTGCCTACCCGTAAGGCATTTGTGAGGAATTATTCAAGTGGCGAATTTAATTTCAACGGCGGTGGGGCTTTGCCATTTTAAAAGAGGTTTGTCTTTATAACTGCAGGTGGGGTGATTGTCAAATTTTAAGGCCATGGAATTTAAATTTCAATCAACTTTTAAAAAAATGAAATTGAATGACGTGCCATAGGATAAGCTATATAGCTAACAATTTAAGGTGAAGTCGACGATACAACTGAGTGTCAGGAATTAATGGCATCGATTGCGACACCAAACAAACAAGTCACATTCTCTTCAGAGGACGAAGACAAAAAAAAAGTAAATAGTTGCTGTACCACAGGAAGCTCAAGTTTATAATTTAAGTATAATCCAAACTATTATTTACATGAACGCCTCTATCAAAATGGCATTTAAGTGTTATTAGGACAATACTTCAAATATATTTTCATTTTTCAAATAATAATATGGATTTGAAATAACATGTTTCAGTTCACTTCTAAGTGTGGGATCCTTGAGCCAGTGTAAGCGTTGTACTCTGCGTTTTCCATAAGTGATTAAGTGCGCCCAATATTAAGAGGAGATCCTGTGTTACAGGTGTGAGCTATGAGTAACTAACATACTTGAATTCATCCATCCCAAAACTAGTAACCTGTGTTTAACGCCTCGATAATCCGGAGCGGTCACAATAGATTTATTAGCCCGTGGGTCTCCGCTTATTTAACACAGGTGTCACTGTATCTGTGGCAATATGAAAAATTCAGCGCAAACAATGCCTGTTTCGTAATCATGCATGACATAAAAAAGTCTAATGGACCCTTTCTGGCTAAAATGCCTAAAAACGCCATCGGACACAAGAAAAGCACAGGACAAGGCAAACAAAGGAATTCCAGCACCACTTTAAATGATGTACGTGAGCGCTTTGTATTTTTTTGTTTGTCTTTACCCAGTGCTATCCTTGCTTTCCAGCATGGTCTATTTCGTACCACGTGACTGACCAGCTGCAAACTGGGCCTATAGAAGGAAGAACTCGTCACGTAACGTTGCCATGGTAGAAAAATGTCTGGATCTCAACAAACCATGGTCCTGAAAATATGGCAGAAGAAAACGAAAAATTGACATATGATCGATTGCACTCAGGAACAAAACGGTAGACCATACTTTTTTCTACAAAAAAGATAGTTGAGATCCATAAATCTTGCTACCATGGTAACATGACGTCACACTCTCCTCTCTATTTATGCCCTGCTCTCATTGTGATCCTTGCAATTTTTTTGTTTTAAATAACAGAAAAGCTGTTCATTTTTTTCCAAAAATAATAACATTGTGAGGAGCGGGGTGAGGTGGGGAGGGATTAAATGATGCAGCATCTCTCGTGACGTTGAAATGCAGATGGTGAGCGTAAAATGCTCCTGATACAGTTTAACACTAAAAACTTTAATCAAGTGAAAAGGACTGTTATAAAGTTGCTTAATGAGAATTACAACCTGTTCTGTGATAAAGATACTCAAATTTCATTTACTTGAACAAATTAACTACATGTATTAATCCTTTTAAAATTACTGCGCTTTTCACAAACGTGCGAATACTGAAGTTCAAAAGCCAACTGACGATTGCGTTTTTCGCTGCCGTCAATCACCTTAACGGACCTCTTAGGAAACAAAACTTTACTTTAACGGGTTCAAAAGGTCAAGGTTTGTGATTTTTGACATAATCGGATTTGTCTTTGAAGCATCTATCTCAAGAATTGTACGGTGTCAATTTTTGTTTAGAAAAAAATTATCCTGACTGGAAACTATTTACTCTCAACACGCTGTTAGATCTGAGATCACTTGCATTTGTTAATGAAAGAATAATGGCTTTAAAACAGATGATTGACAAAAAAAACACATTTTTGTTTATCTTACTCGATTTTGTCCAGTTTTGTCCTAGGGAAAATTTTGTCCGCGGCGCCTTTGAAGATTGTCTAGTCTTGGACAAAATTTGTAAGTGATCACGACAAACCATCCTCATTTGTTATGCGTTTGTGATGAAAGAAAATTTGTCTAAATTAATTGCTTTTTCGCTAATGAAGATAGGCCCTAACAGTTTTGAGTAATATAATGTAAAAACTAGAGTGCAGAATCGTTCTTTGTAGATACTTCAAAATACACCAGTTTGGGAAAAGGCCATGAAATAAGTAAGTAAGCAAATTGTTGATGAGTTTCTGGATTCCTTGAGCTGTATTCCAGCCAGGATTCCGGATTCCACAAGAAAAAATTCCCGGATTCCAGATTCCACAGGCCAAAATTTACGGGACTCCTTAATCCGGATTCCCTGCATGACATTGGGCAATTTTTTTGAAGAATTCGTTCAGCTAGGAGTAAAGGTGAAATGAAGTAAAGTGAATGGGACGTGGCGGCGCTTGAAAGAGTGACTGTGCATGTCTTCGTTTTCCAAAATCAACACCCACAAGAGCCTGTTTAAGAGTCCTGGCACCATTTGGCGCTAGGTATGAAAAAGACTTTTGTCAGGCGTCGAAACCGTTAACAGTAGAACTATTTTTTGGCTATGTTTCAAGAACTATCTTAACTTATTTATAAATGTCATTTTTTGAATGTTTACTCTAGATTCCAACTGGCTTGATTTTCATCTCAGCTCGCTTAAAAGAGTGATGGTAACCCTTCCATGCCTTCCAGTTTACACCGACAGCATATTCGTGATGGTAGCCTCGACGATAGAGACCGTTCAAATTAGATTCATGACAACGTTTGTACCACCAGGCTCCTTTGAATTTCTTGGCACAGCTGGTATACGGAGTATGATCGTTGTCTTGATCTTTGGTAGAGAACGCAATACCACGATGATAGCTAAGGGAGTCGCCAGCAGTTCCTGCAAAGTTAAGGTAAAGAATATCAATATTTATAAAACCTCGATCTAGTAGTGTCCAAACGAGTTAGTGTTCAGTCCTGAAAGTATAATTATTTACAAAATATTTCTAGGATTTAGGGTTAAGTGCGGATTGAATTCAGTGTTAAAAGGGTATAAACTTTAAATTTATCGTATGGAAAGACCACCAACTAGACCAACTTCAATTCCATGTCATCTTATACTTGTATCGTAAATGAAATCTTTAGTTATCCGCTTCATTTTTTGTTTTTAAGTCCAATGATCAGGAATGCTACTACAATCAAACCTCCCGTGGGTAAGTGAACACTCAGAACGCGAACAATTTAATGGTGGCTTCCGAGAATCAAACTTAACAAGAGTCTCATTCGAGAAGAGGTCCCGAGACATCTACACTTTGGTAAAGAATTTATTCAGTGGAAGCCCTCCTAACGGACACTCTCGTAAGAGGACGGCTCTATCTTCTTATGGCCGCCTTCACAAAACCGCGTTTCAACTCCCATACAAACTCTGTATTTTGACATTCCCGTGAGCGACCAGCTCCAGTTACGGTTTACGGGCGTCGTCTTTTTCGAGTCGTGAGGGGAGTCCGCTTACGAGAGCTTCCACTGTACAAACAGCCTCTAAGTTACTATATGTACATCAAGAGAGGATAAAGGGGACAGAGAGGTTATCCCCCATACACACCCTATTTCATAGGTAATTCGTCTCGAGTTATTTTTAACACCACAGATCTCAAGGGGGATTGGACAACAGTCAATCACATAGCGCGAATGCGTTCCGTGGGATGACCCACGCTAAGAGGCACGCGTCCTTCACGAATTGACGAAGAACAACATGGCGGAAGACGCGGAAAGCGATATTGCTATTCGCTTGGTCGACGAAAACGACTACAGAGAGATTTCTGCTAAAGCTGTGTCTGCGAAACGGAAATTAAAAAAGAATCGCCCTTCCTCTCTTGTATAGAGCTAACAGTACAGCAGGGAAATCCTTAACACACTGATATTCTCTCAGGATCATTTATAATTTACAGTTTGAAGAGAGCAATTTATGGTTTGATATTTATTCTTTTATTAGACTTTTATTATTCAACAAAAAAAACACTTGGCGTCCTACTTGCTTTATTGTACAAACGACCGGTTTCAATAGACTGGCGAAATTTCAAATTTTATTAAAGCACTGAGGTTACGACAACTTCGAGTTAAACTGATTTTACGGGTTGTCAAAGAGCTCAGCGATTCCCTTTTCCCAGGTGAGCGCCGACTCATTTCGCTTCAATATTTAGGAATGCTCTCGATCTCTTTACGCTTTCATTGCCTTTCGCTCGACATGTTTTACACGGCGTTTAGTCATGCGAAACCTCCACGAGACACCCACGCAGTGCGCGAGGTAACTTTATCTCGATTCTAAAAATAACTCGAGACGAATTACCTATGGAATAGGGTGTGTATGGGGGATGCCTTCTCTGTCCCCTTTATCCTCTCTTGATGTACATGAATAGCCCCATGTTGTCACTAAAAATACTTAGCATACTCTTGTTAGCGTAGTTCATGCATGCCGCTAACATAGAGATCAGACCATGGGTAAAATGACTCACCTAACTACAAAAGGATGAAAACAATGGAAAATTTTAAAACTCTAACCCATAAACGTGGTCATGGTCGCTTACCAGAGCCTGAGGTGGTCTTTTACGAGAGGTTACGGCTACAGGGCTTTGACTGGAAAAATTTTGGTCTTTTGGAAATGAAGTCGCTTATATTTGCTTATGGCAGGGGCTGCTTACAAGAGATAGTTGCTTATGGTAGAGGTAATAGTTGCACATAGAGGTTCGACTGCATTTTAATACTTTTTAACCAAATAACTTGACGTGGGTTTTCGGTTAGGATCTCCCAGGTACATGTAAGTATTTTCACCATTGAAAACTTGGGTTGAGTTATAACATGGCCATTCGGTAAGCCGTGTGTAGAATGTGTCAGGATCATTTGCAAACTGAGGAATAAATGATAAAAACTTTTCGGAAACATCTAAAAAGTAACAAATTTGTCTGCATTAAGTCCAGTTATCAGTTCATGCATACCCAATTATACCCTTTTTGTATAAATTCAAAGATATTTCGAAATTCCTCTTACTGATTTTTTGCGAAACTTCGCACAGCAAAAGGTAAGCACCCAAACTATATGTAGAAAAGCATTTCTTATAAAGAAAAAGCTAATATGGGCTAAAATTTGATTTAAAACTAAAACTATCGTGACGTTAAGTGATATTTATTACGATCGCCCAAAAAATTAAAATATCATAATAAAGTGTGAGTCTATGTGTAAATACATGTGTATATGTTATAATGGTTTTACAATAAAGATCAATTTGTTAAATAAAAAGTATGAGAGATTCGAAGATCGAAGGTGTGCCTTGAAAAATAATGTGTCGAGCCACCTTAAATGAATCCTTACCAAAGTATTTTCCAAGACTGAGCATGTATTTGCCTTGTTCATTAGCAACACCAAAATCGTCGTACTCAGCGTAAGCTGTTTGGCTCCCAAAGTCTTCAAGCTCCACTCGAAGCTTGCTTGGTTTTTTTGTCAGGCGGTGTATCTTGTCCAATCCGAGTCAAAACTCACCATTCAGATCTCCGAAACCGTGTTTGTAATCATCCCAGCCACGGTAGAAATCAACCGATCCGTCCAGTCTCTTTTGGAACACAGTCCACCCTCCACCGGCTGTTGTTTGGTCACAGTATACTTGAAAGGTTCCAGCATTGTCAGGGTCGATGGTATAAATACCGCTGTTTCGGACAGCAGCTTCATACAGCTCAGCACAGTTTTTGTAGACTGAAAAACAAAGAATTCCGAAGCGTCTTCATCACCATGTGTTTTCCCCTTATAGAGCGTTTTCACATGACGTCGCGCTGGCCATGTCAACGTTTCAAACAAATCCTGAGGAAGTTGGACTCTCTCTTAACAATTTCTTTTGTTTTCATAAATTTGCACATATGCTGGCCACGTGAGCGAAAACGCTCTTTAGGTATGCCCTCCCTCCCCCCCACCAAAAATAAAAAAAATATATAAAATAATAATAATAATAATAATAGTAATAATAATAATAATAATAATAATAATAATAATAATAATAATAATAATAATGGTAATAGGACTGAGTGGAGTACAATTCAGGGAGAAATCGTGCGAGTAATTTCAAGTCGGCGTGCGCGTAGCACCCCTGAATTCTACGACGCGACGTTCTATTACCAACTAATTGTGTCAATAACAAAATGCGAGAATCTCAGTGTTAGAACACTTATTAATGTAAGAGAAGGATTCCACTGTCAAAGTCACTGGACCAATTAGTTTCATCCATTTTTCTTTTCTTGGTCACTATTTTTCATTGATTTTGATTGGTTATCGTGTGCTCTGTAATTAAATTTTATCGGCTTAAATGGCATCTGCTACTTGATTTTCATTGGTTCTTTAACTGTCCAATTTTTTTTTGTCTGATTACAAGCTCCTGGTACTCGGACAGGTCACAGTTTTGGAGTTGAATTAGCAAAATTAAGCTATAAATATGGGCTGTTAAGAACCAATCAGATTCAAGCATTTTGTTATTGACACTTTAATAATAATAGCAATAATTAATAGAAAATGCGGAGGTCCAAACTTCACTTACAAAACATTTGGTATTGGGGTGGTACTGAATTAGGAAAATTTAATGACTTTGGAGCATGAATGTTTTGTTGAGGATTCCCAGTTGAAATTTCTTTACTTCACCTTTGCTGCTTTCAGGAACGATCTGGTAGGATAAGAACCTCATCTACACTATAATTGACACTGCCTAAGAATAAAAGTTCCTTTTCCGGCCCGATTGTCAAAGCTAAGCTTTTGCCAAGTTGAATATATAAGGAAGTGAAAGACATTTTGCCGATGTTGACGATTTTGATGCAGATGATGGCGATAATGATAATGATAATGATGATAAGGATGATGTTAATGATGGTGATGATGATGATGATAACTGATGATGATGATGATGATGATGATGATGANATTAAATTTTATCGGCTTAAATGGCATCTGCTACTTGATTTTCATTGGTTCTTTAACTGTCCAATTTTTTTTTGTCTGATTACAAGCTCCTGGTACTCGGACAGGTCACAGTTTTGGAGTTGAATTAGCAAAATTAAGCTATAAATATGGGCTGTTAAGAACCAATCAGATTCAAGCATTTTGTTATTGACACTTTAATAATAATAGCAATAATTAATAGAAAATGCGGAGGTCCAAACTTCACTTACAAAACATTTGGTATTGGGGTGGTACTGAATTAGGAAAATTTAATGACTTTGGAGCATGAATGTTTTGTTGAGGATTCCCAGTTGAAATTTCTTTACTTCACCTTTGCTGCTTTCAGGAACGATCTGGTAGGATAAGAACCTCATCTACACTATAATTGACACTGCCTAAGAATAAAAGTTCCTTTTCCGGCCCGATTGTCAAAGCTAAGCTTTTGCCAAGTTGAATATATAAGGAAGTGAAAGACATTTTGCCGATGTTGACGATTTTGATGCAGATGATGGCGATAATGATAATGATAATGATGATAAGGATGATGTTAATGATGGTGATGATGATGATGATAACTGATGATGATGATGATGATGATGATGATGATGATGATGATGATGATGATGACGGTGACCATATTTTCTCACAACAAAAATCGAAAAGAATCCATTGAAAAACTGAATTAATGGAGCCATTTACGTACATGGTCATGTGTGTGGATATTTGAATACGTCGACAAACACTTTTGGTGTTCATTTGTCTTTGTCCTTGCGTCCATGATATGCTAAGGTCAGGCCAGTTATTTTTATCAGTGCTTAAATTTTCGTTTTCATTTTTTTAATTGTTAACCATGCAAGGTAATGTAAAATGATCCATGACAAATCAACTTTATCTTGATGAAGTGAGGGAATGCATGAAAGTAAGAATGGAGTAAAAGAGAATACAATTACAGAAACAAAACTTAGTCAATCAGCCAAAGGAGAGAGAACCTGGGAACGAGATTGTAGCCTATTGGGTGTACATAACCTTCATCGCATCGATCTCCTTTAAAACCCTCGGGACAGAAACATCTGTATCCTTTATTTGTAAACCCGACTTGGCACAGAAAGTACTTTCCAGGACAACGGCTACGATGACAAAAGTTCTGGAAAAACAGTTAAAAAACGAACGTGACGGAGAATAAATATGTTAATTTCGGGATTAATAGACCATTTTCAATATATCAATATTCACACTTGGCTCTGACGCTTGGGGGAATAACATAAAAGAAATGTATTATTCACAGTGTATTCATTGCTGAGCCTCAAGATGATTTCTTTTGTTTTATTCCTCCAAGCCTCGGAGCCATGTATGAATTTTGATATATCGGAATTGGTCAATTGACACATCTGTATGAATATTTTTAAACATTAACAGGTAGGTCCTGATATCATTCAATACTTCATGAAACCTCCGGCAGCACTTTTCAAGGAAATATGGAACCATTTAAGCCGACGTTTTGAATCAGTGCGAGAGTTTTAAGTTTACTCGCAGGTAACTGAAACTGATTTTTTCCTAGTTATATATCTAGTTAAAAGGTTCCTTTCCCAAATTTTGGAAATTTTTTTTATCATTTGAGAACTGAAAATGAGATTCATAAAGGTAAGAGAATCAGCGTTGCTTAGCCTATTCCTCATATAAAGTCTGCATAAAAAAAATAAGTGTTAATGTATATAAAGGTGACTATAATACAGATAATACACTCGCTAAACAAACATTTACTGAATGTCCAACTTCACTCATTCTTCACATCCTTTATTACCTCAACAGCAAAGTGTATGTAACCCTTCTTTTCTTCCAAACCAGTTTGTGTTCCGCTTTCATCGGTGAAATTTTTCAACTTGCATGTTCGTGTTCCCTCAACTTCAGGCCCCACGTTGATGGATACACAGTTTGGCTCCAAAAAGCACTTCACCCGGCAGCTTCCCTCGTTTGGGACCATCTCAGTCCTTATCACGTGACCAGGAAGAACTTTGTCGTTTATCGGTTCCTTGAAAATGATGATGCCGTTATATTCTGCCACTAAAACCGCAAGAAATAATGAATGCGAAAAAAATCTGTAAGTATATACTGCGTCCCACCTCTGTGCTCTTTTATTCACCAGTATATCAAGTGAAGAAATTCATGGTTTTTACATGACGTCGCCAAAATTTAAACTAAGAAATTATACTAAGAGGACTCACAGATGAAAGTACTCCAGAATGTTTTCGAATTATGGAAATAAAAATGTTTAAAACAGCTCGAAAGGGTCCTAATTCGTTTTGAGATAATGGACACTTAAACAGTTGGCCAAGCTTTTGCGTGACGCGGAATTAAAGTGGCGAGCAAGAAAGCTCTCGTGTAGGTTGAGTTTTGCCATCTAAACATTAATTGCCTCAGTCTGAGAATAAGTAATTATTACTTTAATCTTTATCAGTTCCTCAAGCGATAAATTCACGCTTTTGCAGAAAACTCAAACAGATGTTTCTGTTGATTTCCCGACCGCCATATTTGAACCCCTTAAAGGAACACCAACATGGCGTCTCTATACAAAGCTGTTTTAAATCTGAGTAAAAAATTTTCCCTAGCATCTCTCAAATGAAATTTCGCGCAGACCTCGATCGATTCTTCGCCAGGCTTCTTTCTCATATCTTCCAGATTCTGGCCTTTCCGTATTAAATGGTTTCGATTTCTATTTTCAATGTAATTTCTAATTGCTATTAAATTTGAAGTTTATTGATCTTTATAATTATGTTACAAACTAATTTTTGATGGCGTGACAGTTAAAACAGAGGATTATCTGACGAATTCCTCCTTTCAGTAACTTCTTTCGCAGTTGCGATTTGGCACATTGGCGAAATGAAACCTTTAACTGACCCCTGTGCTCGTGCTTCTGCTTCTTCAACACATTGCTCAGTGCTCATAATTCAAGGTCCTTGCAGTCTTAGTAATATAATTTTGGTAAGGCCGTCTAGTCTCAGGGGCACCCAACGAGAATATAGTTTAAAACCACTTAAACATAGCATTGTTAAACATATTTTAGTATTTAAACGGTAGACATAGGCATATTTTTATCCCCTAAAAATTGTTCATCTGCTCGGATTTCCTAGCTGAAAGTTAAGTCTAATGATCCGAAAATTATAGGGATCAAAACTTACCTTTCCAAAAATTCCAGCCAGAAAAAAGGCTTCCGAAAATTCTAGGAGACCTTTTTAGGGTAAAAATCCGTTAAAAATAGGCAATTATACCTATTTTAGATGTTCGGAGGGTTTTCGGGAAAAGAGTCGTATCTGTACACTTTAAAAGATACATCTTTCATATAAGAATATACTAAAATGGCAATAAGATAAAAAGTTTTTTGAATTCGTTCTCGGAAATCTTGGGTAGTCTTCGGGAATTGTCAAAAAATGGCCTCAAGTCCTTGATGTGCTAAACAAGATAATATTGGCCTTATTGGAGAAGTTTTTGTATCTTCCTGGAAAAAAATTACTGTTACAGTGATTTCTTTTTTTTTCACTGTTAGCGTTAAAATGCCTAAAATTTAATTGTTTTATGTTTCAGTGCCAAAAATTAAGTGTTTAGTGTTATCGAATAGGCCATTTGCATGATGGCGTCATTTTACTACTACCACCAGAATCCTTCACGCTTTTGCTCTCTTGTGCCAGTTTGGACTCTTGTTATTTTAACCTCGCTGGGATGACCAAATTTTAATGTGAAAGGAAAAACGAAAAGAATTCTGGTCGTGGTAGTAAAATGACCCGATCAAAAACTTTACAAATCGAGGAAAGAGTAATTCAAAAATAAATTTTGATTTGTACATAAAAGAACTGATGTTTTACAAGCAGAAGACCGTCGATAATGAAATTCCGAGAGACTCACTTCGGAAAGGGTTTTAATAAGTTTGATTAAATAATGCTAAATAAAGTGTAAGGTAATAATTTATAATTTATTATCTATAATTTTAGCAAATCTAGAAATAAAACGGTTTTTAATAGAAAAATGCAAATTTTGCTAAGCGTAGTGGGCCGGGTTGTTCAAAGCTGGGTTAGGGTAACCCAGGGTTAGTGCGAAATTTGAACTCAGATATGAGAGCTTAAAAAGCAAATTCAGTTTAATTTTCTTTGCCTACAGTTTGATGATTGGATACTCTAAAAAGAATAGAGAAAATTATCCGAGAGAGTGCTTTTGATAAAAAGAAAAAGAAACCCGGGTTAAAATTTAACCCCGGGTTAGCGCTAACCGGCGTTCGAACAACTGGGCCCTGGCTGTCAAAACTTTGTTGCCAAGGTACCGTCAATGTTGACGTACACGGTTTTGAAGCTATTCAACTTTAAAAATGCGGGGCGCCTCAAAAGCACCCCGTTGGTCTGAAGAGAGGTAACATTAATACGCCGATTCAAGCTGCATAATGATTGTTTTTATTCATAGCAATCCGACATTCGACTCTTTGCCGTATTTCTTACACGAGTGAATACTAGAAAGTTATGCAATTATCAGAAAACAGTTTTAATCCCTAAAACACAAGACCGTCATGCGACAATTGATTTTCCTCCGTTATTTAAAAAATTTTCCCCTGGTTTTCCTTCTGTAAATAAGAGTGAGTCTATTCCAGAATAAAATAAGTTATCAAACAATTGAACACACCTAAATTCGAAATGCGACTGACTTCTGACTGACTAATTAACTTGGATCCTTTTATAAGCTTCAAATGTCACCATAGAAAGAACAAAATGAGCTGTTACTAAAAAAATAGTGTTGTCTCTTTTTTCTTTAAATAGATTTTCTCCGTTAGAAAAGGAAAAATAATATTTTTTTCTGTTGAAAAGGGAAGCTAGACTGTAGAGACATTTATTTATTTAATTGTTTTCCGATTTCTTAACGAAATCCTTGCCAGTATAATTAAGCTGTTTTTAGGCCTTCAGTTCTTGGTTATGTGAACCTAAAGTGATCGACACATAACTTAGCTTCTTGCTTCAACTACGTTGTTAAGGCCGTCAATCTGAATAACTTTGCATCCCATATAATATCAATTTTTTGAGCTGTTATTGAGATAACCATTGCAGTCTATTCGTGAATATCCAACTCATTAACTCCTATTTTTACTTTTACAATTTCTTATTAACTCAATCTATTGTTAACTCCGGCGCATGCAACACTTACCAGGAGCAACTGCACCGATTCCAAGCATATTCCACGCGAGAAAAATACATGCTGTAATATAATTCATTGTCAGGCGGGTTTGCGCTAGCTTGAATCGTTATTTTCCGGTTCAGCAACAAGTACGCTGGTCTGGCCTGACTCAGTGCGTTTGCACAAATAGTTCCCAGTTGTTTTCTTACCTACCGAGAGCCTCTACTGATTGTTGTTTACAACTGTTCGCCTTTTTGGTTCCAGTCAGTCTTTAATTAATTCTTGTTCCAATTCATTATTAAGTTTATTAAAAGAGGGGGCTATTTTAAACTACTGCATTAAATGAATATCTTATTAGTATTTAGGTGAGTTTTCTTTATTCACAATGTGACTTGTATTTTCACTGTAAATAGGTCGGCCAAAAAAATAATAGATAATAAAAAATACAATTTGAAGCGATTTTAATACTCGTGTTAGTGTTACAGTAGTTATCCAGCAAGCCTTTTATTTCTCCTCTATGTATTTTCAACAAATGCTTGATTAGATTCAGAAATTAATATCCCTTTCTGAAGATACCTGCTCATTGTGTTTGGAGAACCGAACGAACGTTTTTTCAAACTTTTAAAAACACAAAAAGTTGTAAGGATGAACATTGCAAACTATACTAAACGTAAACTGATTAGCAATTGTTTAAAATTTATAAAGGAGGTTAGGCCAGCAGTTTTAATGTGTGGTTCAATTTGATCTTTGGTTTAAAATTTATTTCCCATCATCATAACTTTAAAAAAATGGAGATAAAATTTAAACCAAGGATAAAGTATCAGCAGAATAGTGAAAAACTGTTGATTAGCTTTTGGTTAATATACATTTACAACACTGCTGTTTGTTTTCATTATGCCGTGTAGATGACGTAAGGGCAGGCATTGCAGCTGCTTAACATGAACAGCACGAAGCGTAAGCGGAAATTTAAGACCGCTTGAGAAACGCATATTATTAAAGACGTTTATTCTGTTTTTTCTTTTTTTTGTTTTTTTCCATTTTTCCTGCAAGTGTACAAAAAAGTTCATAATATTACTCGTTTATTAGAAAAGAGAAATTAACATTTGTGATAATAGGAAATACAAAGATCAGCGTGAATGGGTCTATGATACACCCCTTTGCTGTACCCCAAATAATGTTCCATTTTCGGCAAAATGGGTGTTTTTTGGCACAACCTTGCAAGGGGGAGGTGGGAGGATTAAGAGATAAACGTGAAGCCCATTGAAATACTCGTCTTCAGCAATAAATGAATCCTATGTAATAATTACTTGGAAGGGTTTTTCCAGCTGTCTGTAGTTCTTCTGGCCCTGCCCATTATTCTTCAAGGCCAATTTAGAAATTTACTCTAAAGTTTGAAGAAGACGTGAAATATATATAGGCCTAAATTAAAGTAAGTCAACCTCGCAAATAATACAGATAAGCGACTTAGAATATTGCGGATATACATTTGAATGTTGTTTCACCTGCATACTGGTTGTATTATAACCATTAACGTAAACACAAAAATGTACTCCCCATAAAACTAGCGTTAAAACATTTCCCAAAACATCGCCGATCCGAAAAAATCTAAAACTCCTGCAACGATTGCACAATAACTGAACTGATTAACGGTATATCGGCCACTCAATACCACAGGGTAAGGGCTGAGATGATAGGCAAACACGGGAGAGTTCCAGTACCAAATCCCACCCTATGTACCTTAAATTAAAACAAAAAAAAAGATACCTTGTAGCACTAAATGTTTACGGGTTCTCGCCGAAACAAAGTGCAAACATTTTTCCGAAAAACGTTTTCTTCACTAACTTAATATACCGTTGTAAAATGAAGACTTTAAAGTGCCGCACTCGTCCACGTTAAGGTACTTCCCTTGAAAATGATCTACTATCCAGATTTTTTTCAAACTTGCATTGGCACGAATGTCAGAAACATAAAGGACATTCAAAAACTGCGATAAAAAGATGGGGTCACCGTAGGCGTGCTTGTTTTCGCCTTGCGTTCCCGTAATTCTGAGTGTTTTTTCCTTGTTGCGCGCGAAATGTTCGAAACTTAAACAACCGTCGAAAATTCTTATTTTATAGCAAAAACTATGAATGTTATTAAAACCTTAAGCCCCTTAAGGGAATTACATCAAAGCAAGGCGTTTTTATTTGTAATTGAATGAATTACGGGTTTGGCATTATGTGCATGTTAATTCACCTGTCATGATCCCAGAATGTCCATTGCATACAGTTTCTAGGCTGCTTCGCAACTCGTAACCACGTACGCCCTATGTAAGGGAATCCAAGACAATCTTGGATTCTGGATTCCACTTCGTGGATTCCGGATTTCCATGTGGTGGATTTCAGTCTTTGTCGGTGGAACTGTACTTGGATTCTAGATTGTAATTGTCGGTGGGATTACGGATTCCTTGAGCTGTATTCCGGATTCCAAAGCCCAGGATTTGAGATTCAAAAGCAAATTTTCCCAGATTCTGGATCCCACAAGCAAAACATTCTTGGATTCCGGAATGCGGATTCCGTTACATCAGGCGACCTCTAGCCTGTTCCCGGCGTTCAGATCATGTGGAGTGTGACCCGAGATCAGAGAGCGGGAAACAATAACTAAAAAGAAGGAACTAAGGGAGAGGGAAAGCTCTCACCCCCTCCCCATCCTCTCGCTGTTTTTCCTGCTCACATCTCTTTGGTTCCATCTTAAATCTGAACGCCAGTAAAACAGTCTATGACTCCTTTGTGAAAAAATTTGCGCGCACTGACGATCCCGCTGAGAGAGCTATGCAGGTTACCCCAGCAGAACAACCAGTCTTTCACATTCGCCAAAACAACAAAAAAACACTCCGACCCGAATTTGTCCCTTGAGAGAAAAAAAACTAATTGCCATGAATGCCTTGAAAATACATAATCAAATGAAAATATTCAAGAGACGGTAATGAAAGGAAATCAATCAAGTCATTCAAATCATCAGTAAATTAGGTCAAGTGATTCAGCTTGCAGTACATTACTGTATAAGGAAAGCTGTAGGGACCTTAAGATACACCATTTCAGTCTCTACAGGCGCCGGTAAGCGAACCTGTTTGTCACGCAGTAGGCAATCATGATTATCAAGGAGTGCCGATAATAATGCTAACACCGTTCTACGCAGTAGCCTTTCCGTTTCGCCCGTTAAGAAACAATCAGCCAGTATTCTTTGCTGTGGGTACGGGTAAGCTACCCGTACCGTACCCGTACACGGAAAAAGTGTACTTTACATGATCAAATAGACGCCCATGGCGTTTATGTAATCTTAGGGGTCCAAAAGAGGGCTTTCAACAGATAGGAGGCGTTAAAAGAGAAGCGTTTATTTTCATTTTTGGAACCCCAAAACTAACGATGAGCGTTTGTAAACAGTGGAATATCCAGTCAATCAATTGATACATCTTGGCCGTCTAGAGATTCAGAGATCCATATTCGCTACTTCGATGCCACAATCCTAGCTCAGGCTCGTTGTGTAGTCATTGTTAGTCTGTCCTTACGTGATGTTGTAGTTAATTGTTTTATCTCAGGTAATTGTTATTTTTCATTTGTTTCAACTTCATTAGCATATATTACCATACCAAAAAACAAAAGATAAACAAAAATTACGTGAGATAAAAAATTAACTACGACATATACATTGAATTGACATTAAACGACATGCAATGTGCAAACCCTTGTTGATCAAGTAAAAAACAGTATATTAAATGATCTTCCTTCATTTTACTTTTCCCTAGAATTTTGCAATAACTGTTATGGAGGTCATCTATTAGATAAAGGGCGTTTATTAGAGAGGGGCGTCTAATACAAACATTGTAGCTATAGGGGCGTTTTTTAGACGAGAGACGTTTTTTTGAGAGGGAGGGGGGGGGGTCAATTATATAACTTACGGTATGTTAAGATCTCTTATATACAAGTACCGCACCACTGTTGGGCCTGAAAATTGCTAAAAATGTATATGTTACCAAAAATTGTAAAAAAAAAAACTGCAAATTACATACAGTCGAACCACCTCATTAAAACACCACTTTGTCACGGACAATTTTCGAACAAAATTCTCACAATTTTTCCTATGAAAAGATTCATTCATTCATTCATTCATTCATTCATTCATTTTATTTTGCCTTTAACAAGAAATACAACAACAGTATACAGAAATACATTTAAAATAATATACAATATTCCAACTAAATTATTTACAAGATCAAATGTGGTAAAGGCAAGGAAGCCTATATAGAAGCCGGGGGCTTATAAACTGTATGCTTCCTGGAACTATAGGGTAAACAGTAGTATAGGAGGGATGTTTTATGCCCCTTTTTTGCGCAGGAATCTCATTAGCGTGCGCAGGAATAAATTAACGCCAATGACTTCACAACCTTTTGTCTTGATCTCATGAACAAAATGCGCAGGGATGCCATTAAGATAAGGTCATGTGCTATTTTAAGTTGGTTTAGGATTTTAGTTACTTTAAGGTCGATAAACGTCTTCGTTTTCGATTGGTTAGTTAGAAAATAAGAAACGTTTTTATTGGTAAATTCATACTGTCTGAGGAGTAAAGTCAAACTTGTCTGTGACTTAAAATCACGGAGGCGTAATGTAATTATGCAAGTCCCATTTCCTGCTGCTGTGATTGTCCTAGTTCCGGTTCACTAAATTTTGGCGGGCAAATCGTGCATATTAATAAGGGCAAAGACAAACTACCTCTTGTCCTATTTGCTGCTGCTCCCATTTTTCCCTCCTCCTCCTCCCCATTTCTATTGTTTTCCCTCCACCACCACCACCGCTACCACATTTCTATTGTTTTCCCTCCACCATCACCACCACCACCACCGCCACCACGTTTCTATTGTTCTCCCTCCACCAGATTCCCTTTTCCCAGGTGAGCGCCGACTCATTTCGCTTCAATATTCAGGAATGCTCTCGATCTCTTTACGCTTTCATTGCCTTTCGCCCGACATGTTTTACACGGCGTTTAGTCATGCGAAACCTCCACGAGACACCCACGCAGTGCGCGAGGTAACTTTATCCCGATTCTAAAAATAACTCGAGACGAATTACCTATGGAATAGGGTGTGTATGGGGGATGCCTTCTCTGTCCCCTTTTATCCTCTCTTGATGTAAATGAATAGCACCATGTTGTCACTAAAAATACTTAGCATACTCTTGTTTGCGTAGTTCATGCATGCCGCTAACATAGAGATCAGACCATGGGTAAAATGACTCACCTAACTACAATAGGATGAAAACAATGGAAAATTTTAAAACTCTAACCCATAAACGTGGTCATGGTCGCTTACCAGAGCCTGAGGTGGTCTTTTACGAGAGGTTACGGCTACAGGGCTTTGACTGGAAACATTCTGGTGTTTTGGAAATGAAGTCGCTTATATTTGCTTATGGCAGGGGCTGCTTACAAGAGATAGTTGCTTATGGTAGAGGTAATAGTTGCACATAGAGGTTCGACTGCATATTAATACTTTTTAACCAAATAACTTGATGTGGGTCTTCGGTTAGGATCTCCCAGGTACATGTAAGTATTTTCACCATTGAAAACTTGGGTTGAGTTATAGCATGGCCATTCGGTAAGCCGTGTGTAGAATGTGTCAGGATCATTTGCAAACTGAGGAATAAGTGATAAAAATTTGTCTGCATTAAGTCCAGTTATCAGTTCATGCATACCCAATTATACCCTTTTTGTATAAATTCAAAGATATTTCGAAATTCCTCTTATAGATTTTTTGCGAAACTTCGCACAGCAAAAGGCAAACACCCAATTTATATGTAGAAAAGCATTTCTTATAAAGAAAAAGCTAATATGGGCTAAAATTTGATTTAAAACTAAAACTATCGTGACGTTAAGTGATATTTATTACAATCGCCCAAAAAATTAAAATATCATAATAAAGTGTGAGTCTATGTGTAAATACATCTGTATATGTTATAATGGTTTTACAATAAAGATCAATTTGTTAAATATATAGTATGAGAGATTCGAAGATCGAAGGTGTGCCTTGAAAAATAATGTGTCGAGCCACCTTAAATGAATCCTTACCAAAGTATTTTCCAAGACTGAGCATGTATTTGCTTTGTTCATTAGCAACACCAAAATCGTCGTACTCAGCGTAAGCTGTTTGGCTCGCAAAGTCTTCAAGCTCCACTCGAAGCTTGCTTGGTTTTTTTGTCAGGCGGTGTATCTTGTCCAATCCGAGCCAAAACTCACCATTCAGATCTCCGAAACCGTGTTCGTAATCATCCCAGCCACGGTAGAAATCAACCGATCCGTCCAGTCTCTTTTGGAACACAGTCCACCCCCCACCGGCTGTTGTTTGGTCACAGTATGCTTGAAAGGTTCCAGCATTGTCAGGGTCGATGGTATAAACACCGCTGTTTCGGACACCAGCTTCATACAGCTCAGCACAGTTTTTGTAGACTGAAAAACAATGAATTCCGAAGCGTCTTCATCACCATGTGTTTTCCCCTTATAGAGCGTTTTCACATGACGTCGCGCTGGCCATGTCAACGTTTCAAGCAAATCCTGAGGGAGTTGGACTCTTTCTTAACAATTTCTTTTGTTTTCATAAATTTGCATATATGCTGGCCACGTGAGCGAAAACGCTCTTTAGGTATGCCCCCCCTCCCCCCCCCCAAAAAAAAAAAATAAAAAATATATAAAATAATAATAATAATAATAATAATAATAATAATAATAATGGTAATAGGACTGAGTGGAGTACAATTCAGGGAGAAGTCGTGCGAGTAATTTCAAGTCGGCGTGCGCGTAGCACCCCTGAATTCTACGACGCGACGTTCTATTACCAACTAATTGTGTCAATAACAAAATGCGAGAATCTCAGTGTTAGAACATTTATTAATGTAAGAGAAGGATTCCACTGTCAAAGTCACTGGACCAATTAGTTTCATCCATTTTTCTTTTCTTGGTCACTATTTTTCATTGATTTTGATTGGTTATCGTGTGCTCTGTAATTAAATTTTATTGGCTTAAATGGCATCTGCTACTTGATTTTCATTGGTTCTTTAACTGTCCAATTTTTTTTTGTCTGATTACAAGCTCCTGGTACTCGGACAGGTCACAGTTTTGGAGTTGAATTAGCAAAATTAAGCTATAAATATGGGCTGTTAAGAACCAATCAGATTCAAGCATTTTGTTATTGACACTTTAATAATAATAGCAATAATTAATAGAAAATGCGGAGGTCCAAACTTCACTTACAAAACATTTGGTATTGGGGTGGTACTGAATTAGGAAAATTTAATGACTTTGGAGCATGAATGTTTTGTTGAGGATTCCCAGTTGAAATTTCTTTACTTCACCTTTGCTGCTTTCAGGAACGATCTGGTAGGATAAGAACCTCATCTACACTATAATTGACACTGCCTAAGAATAAAAGTTCCTTTTCCGGCCCGATTGTCAAAGCTAAGCTTTTGCCAAGTTGAATATATAAGGAAGTGAAAGACATTTTGCCGATGTTGACGATTTTGATGCAGATGATGGCGATAATGATAATGATAATGATGATAAGGATGATGTTAATGATGGTGATGATGATGATGATAACTGATGATGATGATGATGATGATGATGATGATGATGATGATGATGATGATGACCATAATGATGATAATGATGACGGTGACCATATTTTCTCAGAACAAAAATCGAAAAGAATCCATCGAAAAACTGAATTAATGGAACCATTTGCGTACATGGTCATGTGTGTGGATATTTGAATACGTCGACAAACACTTTTGGTGTTCATTTGTCTTTGTCTTTGCGTCCATGATATGTTAAGGTCAGGCCAGTTATTTTCATCAGTGCTTAAATTTTCGTTTTCATTTTTTTAATTGTTAACCATGCATGGTAATGTAAAATGATCCATGACAATCAACTTTATCTTGATGAAGTGGGGGAATGCATCAAAGTAAGAATGGAGTAAAAGAGAATAAAATTACAGAAACAAAACTTAGTCAATCAGCCAAAGGAGAGAGAACCTGGGAACGAGATTTTAGCCTATTGAGTGTACATTACCTTCATCGCATCGATCTCCTTTAAAACCCTCGGGACAGAAACATCTGTATCCTTTATTTGTAAACCCGACTTGGCACAGAAAGTACTTTCCAGGGCAACGGCTACGATGACAAAAGTTCTGGGAAACAGTTAAAAAACGACCATGACACAGAATTAATATGTTAATTTCGGGATTCAATATATCAAAATTCATACTTGGCTCCCAGCAGGCTTGGGGGAATAAAATAAAATAAATTTATTATTCACAGTGTATTCATTGCTGAGCCTCAAGATAATTTCTTTAATTTGTTTTCTTCCCCCAAGCCTCGGAGCCATGTATGAAGTTTGATATATCGGAATTGGTCTATTGACACATCTGTTTGAATTTTTTAAACATTAACTGGTCCTAATATCATTCAATACTTCATGAAACCTCCGGCCACACTTTTCAAGGAAATAGGAAACCATTTAAGCCGAGGTTTTGAATCAGTGCGAGAGTTTTAAGTTTACCCTCAGGTAATTGAAACTGGTGTTTTCCTAGTTATCTAGTTAAAAGCTTCTTATATAAATTGACAATCAGCGCAAATTTTTGATATTTTTTTATAAATGAGTTACATAAAGGTAAGAGAAACAGCGTTGCTCAGCCCATTCCTCATATAAATTCTGCACGCAAAATAAGTGTTAATGTATATAAAGGTGACTGTAATACAGGTAACACACTCGCTATACAAACATTTACTGAATGGCCAACTTCACTCATATTCTCTTCATCTTTTATTACTGCGAAGTGCCTTACCTCAACAGCAAAGTGTATGTAACCTTTCTTTTCTTCCAAACCAGTTTGTGTTTCGCTTTCATCGGTGAAATTTTTCAACTCGCATGTTCGTGTTCCCTCAACTTCAGGCCCCACGTTGATGGATACGCAGTTTGGCTCCAAAAAGCACTTCACCCGGCAGCTTCCCTCGTTTCGGACCATCTCAGTCCTTATCACGTGACCAGGAAGAACTTTGTCGTTTATCGGTTCCTTGAAATTGATGATGCGGTTATATTCTGTCATTAAAACCGCAGAAATAATGACAATTTGTTTTTTACTTAAAAGAACTGATGTTTTACCAGCAGAAGATCTGTTGGTAATGAAATTCCGAGACACTCGCTTCGTAAAGGGTTTTAATAAGTTTGATTAAATAATGCTAAATAAAGTGTAAGGTAATAATTTATAATTTAAAATTTTAGCAAATCTAGAAATAAAACCGTTTTTAATAGAAAAATGCAATTTTTTCTAAGAGAACTGGCTGTCAAAACTTTGTTGCCAAGGTAACGTCAATCTTGACGTACACGGTTTTGAAGTTATTCAACTTTAAAGTTAAGGGGCGCCTCAAATCACCCAGTCGGTCTGAAGAGAGATAACATTAATACGCGATTCAAGTTACATAATGATAGTTGTTATTAGCAATCCGACATTCGACTCTGCCGTATTTCTTACACGAGTGAATACTAAAAAGTCATGCAAGTATCAGAAAACGGTTTTAGTCCCTAAAACACAAGACTGTCATGCGGCAATTGATTTTCCTCCGTTATTTAACAAATTTTCCCCTGATTTCCTTTCTGTAAATAAGAGTGAGTCTATTCCAGAATAAAATAAGTTATCAAACAATTGAACACACCTAAATTCGAAATGCTACTGACTTCTGACTGACTAATAACTTGGATGCCTCAAAGGTCACCATTGAAAGAACAAAATGAGCTGTTACTAAGAAAATACTGTTGTTTCTTTTTTCTTGAAATAGATTTCCTCTATTAGAAAAGGAAGCTGAACTTGAAACACATTTTTTTTTCTTTTAAATATATTTTTTTCTGTTGAAAAGGGAAGCTAGATTGTAGAGACACATTTATTTAATTGTTTTCGATTTCTCAACGAAATCCTTGCCAGTGTAAAGCACTATTTTAGGCCTTTAGTTCTTGGTTATGTGAGCCTTAAGTGATCGACACATAACTTAGCTCCTTGCTTCAACTACGTTGTTAAGGCCGTCAATATGAATAACTTTGCATCCCATATAATATCCATTTTCCTGAGCTGTTATTGAGATAACCATTGCAGTCTATTCATGATTATCGAACTCATCAACTCCAATTTTAAGTACAGACTGATTTCTACTATTTCTTGTTGACTCAATCTATTGTTAACTCGCATGCAACACTTACCAGAAGCTACCGCACCGATTCCAAGCATATTCCACGCGAGAAAAATACATGCTGTAATATAAGTCATTGTAAGGCCGGGGTGCGCTAGCTTGAATCGTTATTTTCCGGTTCAGCAACAAGTATGCTGGTCAGGCCTGACTCAGTGCGTTTGCACAAATAGTTCCCAGTTGTTTTCTTACCTACCGAGTGCTTTTACTGATTGTTGCTTAGAATTGTTCGCCTTTTTGGTTCCACTCAGTCTTTAATTAATTCTTGTTCCAATTCATTATTAAGTTTATTAAAAGAGGAGGCTATTTTAAACTACTTGCATTGAAATGAATAATTATCTTAAGTATTTAATAGATGCCTTTTTTTATTCACTTTCACTGTAAATAGGTCAGCCAAAAAAATGATAAATAACAAAAAATACGAAATACTCGTGTTGGTGTTACAGTAGTTATCTAGCAAGCCTTTTATTTCTCCTCTATGTATTTTCAACAAATGCTTGATTAGATTCAGAAATTAATATTCGTAACCAAAGATACCTGCTCATTGTGTTTGGAGAACCGAATGAACGTTTTTTCAAAATTTTAAAAACACAAAAAGTGGTAAGGATGACCATTGCAAACTTACGCAATCGTTATAAACTAAACGTAAACTGATTAGCAATTGTTTAATGTGTGGTTCAATTTGATCTTTGGTTTAAATTTTATTTCCCATCATCATACCTTTAAAAAATGGAAATAAAATTTAAACCAAGGATAAAGGATCAAGCAGAATAGTGAAAAACTATTGAAAGAGATTAGCTTTTGGTTAATATATATATATATACATCACTGCTCGGCTGTTTGTTAGGGTTAGATACATTATGTCGTTTAGATGACGTCAGCGTATACATTGCAGCTGCTTAACATGAACAGCACGAAGCGTAAGCGGAAATCTAAGACGGCTTTTTTTTTTTTTTTTCATTTTTCCTGAATGTGTACAATAAAGTTCATTAGAAAAGAAAAATTAACATTTGTGATGATAGGAAATGCAAAATGGTAGTCACTAGAGCCTAAATAAGTTAAAAATATTTCAAGACTGGTAAATTTTAATTACTTCAAGTAAAATAAAGCTTCACACACAACCGATTCTTTTTTTAAAAAAAATTACTTCAAGTTAACTTAGGGACGGACCATTAGAAAAGTTATGGTGGGGGTGGGGAATTGTTGAGCCGCAGGAATTTTTTTTCGTTATCAAATTCCTTGTATGAATATTTTTTAGGCCGTAGCATGAATATTTTTTAGGGTTAATTGGCGTGCATGAATTTTTTTTCATTTAATTTTCCCTTGCTCGAATATTTTTTTTGTACTTCGCCCGCCCCCCCCCCCCATAAGTTTTCTAATGGTCCGTCCCTTAAGGCTATTTTCCCACGCAACATAATTACGATTGATTGACGTGTTTTGCCTTTCTCAAACCTTAAGAAACCGCAAATAACCGCAACTCAGCTAAGTCGGTTTTAAGGATGGTTTTGAAGTCGCTTGAAACTTTCTTGAATCGTTTCAACTTTCCGACTTTAATTAGATGAAAAGTAAAGTTACTTGAGATTTTACTTAGGCCTTCACACACGAATTTTTGGTTAAGTAAAACTTAGCAGCTCTTAAGTCTTACTTAACAGCCTAGTGTAAAGATAGCCATCGTTGGCCAACAAATCCCAACATTGTACTTTGTTGTTACACGCATATGTTGCGTCTCTTTGCACACCCTGTTGTATGTTTACGCGTGTTGTTGCGTGTTGTTGGGAGTTGTTCCCTAAAGTTTGAAACCGGTCAAACTTTTAGAGGTGCAAACGGACGCAATTTAATTATCAAACAATTGAACACACCTAAATTCGAAATGCGACTGACTTCTGACTGACTAATAACTTGGATGCCTCAAATTAAATGTCACCATTGAGAGAACAAAATGAGCTGTTACTAAAAAAATACTGTTGTTTCCTTTTTCTTTAAATAGATTTCCTCTATTAGAAAAGGAAGCTGAACTGTAAACACATTTTTTTTTCTTTTAAATATATTTTTTTCTCTTGAAAAGGCAAGCTAGACTGTAGAGACACATTTATTCAATTGTTTTCAGATTTCTTAACGAAATCCTTGCCAGTATAATTAAGAGGCCTTCAGTTCTTGGTTATGTGAACCATAAGTGATCGACACATGACTTAGCTTCTTGCTTCCCATATAATATCCATTTTTCTGAGCTGTTATTGAGATAACCATTGCAGTCTATTCATGAATATCGAACTCATCAACACCAATTTTAAGTACAGACTGATTTCTACTATTTCTTATTGACTCAATCTATTGTTAACTCGCATGCAACACTTACCAGAAGCTACTGCACCGATTCCAAGCATATTCCACGCGAGAAAAATACAAGCTGTGATATAAGTCATTGTCAGGCCGGTTTGCGCTAGCTTGAATCGTTATTTTCCGGTTCAGCAACAAGTATGCTGGTCAGGCCTGACTCAGTGCGTTTGCACAAATAGTTCCCAGTTGTTTTCTTACCTACCGAGTGCTTTTACTGATTGTTGCTTAGAATTGTTCGCCTTTTTGGTTTCAGTCAGTCTTTATAATGAATTCTTCTTCCAATTCATTATTAAGTTTATTAAAAGAGGGAGCTATTTTAAACTACTTGCATTGAAATGAATATCTTAAGTATTTATTTAAGTGCCTTTTATTTATTCACAATGTGACTTGTATTTTCACTGTAAATAGGTCGACCAAAAAGATAATAAAAAATATAATTAGAAGCGAATTTTAATACTCAGTAGTTATCCAGCAAGCCTTTTATTTCTCCCGTATGTATTTTCCACAAATGCTTGATAAGATTCAAAAATTAATATTCGTAACCAAAGATACCTGCTCATTGTGTTTGGAGAACACAAGGAGGAAAAGTGGTAAGGATGACCTTGCAAACTTACGCAATCGTTACATACTAAACGTAAACTGATTAGCAATTAGTAGTATGGGAGGCTACCAATGGGACTAACCAATCACAGCGCAGCAAAAATTTTCTCGACCAATCAGCATCGAGTATTTAGCCCATGTGACCAAAGTGACGTCAAAGCTCCCAAATATGGGCATAAAAGTCACATGACCCGATCCACATACTTGGCATAGTTTGAATGACCGCGTAAAGCCTGGTGACAAGCGGGACACTCAAAAACGAAACCCCAGACCCCTCGCATCACCGGAAGTCAATAAAAACACACTGTATAGAGGTCAACATCACTACATTGGTTTTAATGAATCTCGAGAATGCCCTAAGTTACATCCGGGACGTGTGTGACGTCCGAATGACGTCACGCCCATTTTTTTACAAATCTAATAGAAGATCCAATTCGTCCTCAATCTTCTCGTAGCCATAGGGATAGCTGGATCGAGTAGACACATCAATGACACGCTTGTCAAACACCAACCCATACTGCTTCACGCGCGGAACTACTTGAATTTGTTTCTTTTCCAAATCCCGTGTGAAATGATAAGGGGTGACAATGTTCAAATTTCGGTAAGAGTCCTGAGGCGAATCTAGTTCAGAGAGAATGTTCTCTTTCATGGTGTGAAAATTAAGAATGGCCGACCCCCGAACATTCAGGGTGAAACCGCGGACCTTGCACACCACTTTACCTCCACGGGTCGTGTACCCATAATTCTTGGCGCCCCCCGAAACGAACTCGGTGATGACGTCTCCGTCCAATTCATCCGTCATGTCCCCGAGAAAATCGCCTGTAGTGATAGAGGGTTGACCCGGACGCCACTTGTACACCACACTGTCGGTATCATAATAAAGCACTTGCTGTTGAAGGGTGTCCAGGGACTCGTAGAGCTTGAGCCGAGCATGGCACGTGGTGAAAGCCGCCACAAAGATATTGGTTTTGGTGCCTTTGACGGCATTGTCTTCGACACTGGTGTAAACGGCCTCCAAGATGTCGTCGGTACAGAGGCGGAGCGTACTGAGATCGAGAGCCGCATCGGAAACGAGGCTGAACAAATGGGCGGGGTTTTGGACAGTGACGGTGGTGGGTTTGTTAATGCGCTCGCCGAATTTGCCCCAGAAACTATTCAACATGAGCTTGGCCGTGGCTTTGCGACCAGGATTTTTGGCAATGCTGGCAATGTCCAGTCGGATCCCCTCCCGCTCCTGATAGCAAAGAATGTACTCTCGTTTTTGTTCGAGGGTCTGGCACCAACTGGGCCACCCCGCGGATTCTTGTTTCAACTTGAGCCAAGTGTTCACGTAATTGGCGAAAAGACCCGTTTGGCGTTGCTCAGGGGGAAAATGTCAGACTTCGTGGATCTTGATCAGGGTGTACCCCTTTTCCACCGCTTTGACCAGCTCCGGCGTGCCCAGGTCCCACGTAGTGTACGATCCGCATCCGAATGAGGGCAATACTGGGTTCGGGTCAACATGGGTTGGGCTTGCTCTGTCTGGACACAGGCACGGCAGAGAGGAAAAGTGAGCTTTTGGCCACAACGTACAGGCAAGACTGGGTGGAATAGACCAGCCGTGGGCAGAATATCCACCGTAGCAATACCAAAATAGGACTCCAGGGACTGGTCAGCGGGCTGGGTGATGATCTTGGGATGACCGATAGGGTAAGGGCAGTTCTTATTCACCCACGGGTACAAGGAGGTCACATCCACATAACGTATCTCTTCATTCTCCCCAGCTACGGCATGCAACGCCACGGCACCGGTTCGACCTCCAAAAAAGGCGTCACGGGGTTCCAGGGGTGCGACCAAATCGAACGACGTCAGGAAACGTTGGACGGCTTCATCGGTGTTCACCAGTTTGTCCCATTCACATTCCCACATTTCGATCACTGTATAGCCTGCTCGGAGCAGGGCCATGCGTTTAGAGAGCGTGGCTTGATACAGTTCCTCCACGGTTCGATCCGGTGTGGCATAATGTTTGGCATTTCTCATGGGATAACAAGTGGGACAGCCATGATAGAGACACCCATGAAATTCGTAGACGGTGCGGGTCAGAGGATCGTAGCCATCGACGAAATAACTGTTCACAAGGGTCCGGACAAACTGCTCGCCCCCGTTCCGGACATGTCGAATACGATCGGCACTGGCCCCCTCCTTGGGAAGGAGATGTTCTTGGTAGTACAGCCATTGCAGGGCCTTGAGCGATTGATTGACTTGGGCCCCTCGCCACCCCCTGAGCGGTTCGACAGCAATGGTGTCGGGGGTCAAATGGTACTTGCGCCAATAGAGATTGCAGGCACTGGCGATGGTGATGCATTTGGCCATAGGATTGAAACCAGCCTGCTGTTCAAATTCTTGCTGAAAGGCTTCACACCCCGCTTTCAACAGCGCCACATCCGATTTGCAGTACTCGATCATTTCTTGCTGGAAATCAAAACGCACATTACGACGGACTTGCTCCGCATGCCAACGCGCCAGTTCGTCTTTCTTTTTGGCCATCATACCCTCGGGATCGTAAAATTCCAAATCGGGGATGCGGCCCACATACTGTTGATGATCCGGGGTATTAAACAAATGAGGAAAGAAGCCCTTCTTTAATTCGGTCAAATTGAAGGTGCTGGGAAACGAGGCCAATGGCATAGGCAGGAAACACAACGAGTCAATGAATTTGAGGGGTCCACTCCTGAAGGACAGGACTTTGGCGCCCACCGTCAATTGATCCACCACTTCGCGTTGTTGCTGGTACAGTTCGTGCAAAATAAACATGCCGTCAAACCCTTTCAAATTGTGAAACACCACAAGAATGGTCCGCTCACTCTCGCTGTCTGGGATGTCCGTGAGATCATCCAAATCGCGCAAAAAAATGGAGGGCACAGTCTTCCCCGTCCAACACATGAATGGTCGCTTCTTCACTGGACGAATAACACAACAAATTGGCCACAAACACACCTTCTGCATTCTGCATGGCTTCAAAATCGGCGTAAACAAACAGGGGAGGGGGTGGCGCCACCATGCTACCTCCCCCCTCCTCTGTGGGTTCAGTCTCCTCATTTTCGACCACGGGTTGAATGTAACACTTATGGTATTGGATGGACACCCATTCTTGACACACAGGACATTTGGCGTACCCGCACTGGTGACGTTGGTTAGGGAGAAAGTTGTACTGGGCCTGGCACTTGAGACAGGTTTTGATCGATTGACATTGCTGGCTGACCACATGATGATGTTTGCATTGCTCACCGTAAAACTTGCGATGACAGAAGGGGCAATAGTCCGTGGGGCGGGTGCCATGCACATAATCTTGACAGTCAAATCGACCACACGCTTTGCAGCGTCTCCCTTGACAAGTGTGATGGGCCCGGTCGTTCGTGTTGAACCCTCGTTCACAGTCCAGGCAATAATACGAGCGGTTCACAAATGCAGGAAAGGACGTGCAGCCATCAAAATGATCATCGGATTTCAATAAACGAATCTGATGAGGCGCGTCAGGGCCTTTGAAGATCAGAAAAAACGGTTTCATCCGGGTCATCACCAAGAGTTTTTTTTTTTTTTTTTTTTTTTTTTT